TCACTACAGCACAGAAGGGGAGCATCAAGGCTCCCCATTCAGCCTTTGCTGACCAGGGTAAGATAAGACTGCAGTTTTTCCTGAGATGTGTGGCTCAGATATGGCAGCAGTTACCTAAAAGTTTTGTTTTCCTAGGCTGTCCCTTTCCTGAAACTTCAGCTAGGGAAAACAGATTTTTCTTAGAGACTTTTTTTTTCTTTTTGTACTGGAGATCAAACGCATGACCTCACGAGCCTGCTTGCCATGCAGACCCTAATCCCCAGCCTTCTTGAAGACTTTTTTAATGCTTGACCCCACATACATTTTCCCTTTGATTAAGAGATATCTTCCTCTTCCTCAGCCTTCCTTATGCTGACTTCATAAAAACTGCCCAGGCTCATCAGCTGCACTTGGCAGGAGGAGAGATGAGTGGGATGACCACACCTGTCCAGGACTCCGAGCAGCATAAGCACCGCTCCGGAACTTCTGTCCTTGTTTCATGAGAAGTGGGATCTACTTTAAGTGAGAAGCTGCCCTGGAGAGCAGAGGCAGCCCCTATTTACACCCCTGTGACAGGGTCCATTTCTCAGTGCGTGCCAGGGTTCTTAGCCCACCAGACACAGGGACTCAGGGAGGTTTGTCCTGAGTGCCCCTGAGGAACTGGCCTTTCTTCTTTTTACCTTGCTCAGTTTGTGCCTTTCAACAAACCAAAGTGGGGTCCGATACTCTGACCTGAGCTCTGGAAAATAGTTTTGCTCAGTTTCTTCTGGTGAAATGGTCGATTTTGCACAGAGATGCACGAATGTGTTCATAGTTTCACTTGAAACTCTCTTTATAGGAAGAAGTGAGACTCAGGGAAAATATGTTGAGGTTTGCAAACAAAACAGAAGTGGCCAAAAATCTAATAGATTCTTTTCTCTTCAAGTACAGAAGATATTTTTAAATTGAGAGTAAATAACCTAGACCTTTATTAATTAAATATATAACATTATTCTGCCCCTTAATGACAATGAAGACAGATGAGGAGAGGTGGGAAAAAGAGGAGAGAGAGCACTGGTGTGGAAAAATAAGGACAGTAAGTGAGAGAGAAGTGGGACAGGGGACTCGGGGGTGGGACACGGAGAGAAGGAGCCAAGCCCAGTCTCACAGGGAGAAAGGAGTGGGGAGAGGGAGCTCCACCGGGTACGTGGATCCAGCACTGAAGCTGAACTGTTCTTAACCCATTAGCCACCACTGAGAGCTTTTCAGGTGTTTTTTCCTCAGGCCACAGTGGCTTTTGAATATTCCAGTGCTTCTCAACTAGGGGCAGGTTGGTGCCCAGCTGGACATTTGGCATATTTGGGGACATTTTTGGTTGTCATAAATGGCTTATGACAGGAGCTACTGACATCTAGCAGATAGAGACCAAGGATACTGCTAAACACCCTACTTCCTGTAAGACGAGCCTCTACCACAAAGAGTTATCTAGCACAGAAGGTCAGCACTAGGGTGGCTGAGAAGTCCTGGAGTACTGTGCCACCGTCTAAGCAATTCATATCTTCACTGTGGTGCATCAAAGGACTGATGTCCATTTGCTCACAGGAGATGGTGGCCGCTTCCGGCACCCTTCCGTCCTCTAGGGGTGTGGAGAACACCAATCCCAGAGGTCTAACACACCCCCTGTCTGTGTTTCAGAGCACACGAAAGCGGTCTATCAAACTGCTGTTTTACCTTCAGTGGCCATTTCCTGTGCACAGCCTCCTGGGATAAAAGCTTAAAAATATGGAATGTCTACACAGGGGAGTTTCGGAACCGAGGTGCCTGTGTGACTCTAATGCAGGGCCACGAAGGCTCCGTGAGCTCCTGCTGTTTTGCCAGAGACAGTGAGTGATGGACGCATCCCAGGCTCTGTTCTTGAAGGGTGCTGGGCAGAGTTCCTCATATTCCATTCATGTGGACTTTGCTAAGGCCAGAAAAAGAGGCAATTTCCAGCAATTGCAACAGTTGGGAGTGCCATGAATGTATAAACAAAATCACAGTCATAAGTCTGTTTATAAGCAATGAAAACTCAACATGGCTTTAGCAACAAAGGAAACTTGTTAACTCTCATAAAGAAAAGTCCAGAAGCAAATCTGATTTCGAATATGGCTGGGTCCAGTCAGAAACTCAACTTTTCCACTGTCTCTCTGTGCTGCTTTGATCTTGCATTGCCTCTCCAGGAGGCAAAACTGGTCTCATGGATGGTGGTCCAGGCCAGCCTTGCTCTGGCCACCAGTAATCCTGAAGGGAATCCCTCTGTCTGATGGCTCCAGAGCTCTCCCAGGGAAGACTCCCATTTGCTCAGCTTTAGACACATACCGAACTCTGAACCAATCACTTATCAGGGGATATAGGAGCTCTGATTGGCCACGGCTGGGTGATGTGTCTGCCCTTAGAGATAGGGGTTAGGTTCAGTACCCTCTGAACTAGCATAAGCAAGAGTTGCTTTCTTATAGGAAATTGAGGAGCTGTTTGTTATCAGGTGAAGGGGTAAAGATGTGAACCGGGAAGTGACCAAGAGCTGTCACGAATGAGGGAAGTACAGATAACTCCAGTGCTCCAGATGGGCACAGGCCAAATGTGTCATCCTCTGTCCTGGTGAGAAGGGGCAGAAGGCTACCAGAAGCTGTCCCTGAAGGTGCAGTAATTAGATAGATCTGAGCTGTACATAGTCACTCCAAGCTGTGTCCAAAAACTGGTGAGAGCCAGGGATTTAGCCCAATGGCTTAAGTGCCTGCCTGGCAAGCACAAGGTCGTGAGTTAGATCTCTGGTACATAAATAAAATAAAATTTAAAAAGAACCAGCAATAAAACCAACAGTGATGAGTGAGGTGGAGAAACCACACCAGGGTACATGATAGAAACAGACTCAGGACTGGCCTGCAGCGGTGGGCAGGGAGGGCTTTTCAGATGAAGAGGCATTTACCCTGGATGGGGGAGAAGGCACTTGGGTCAGTGGAACACACGGGCAACATCCAGGGAGTTGGGAAGTCTCCCTGATATCACCCATGCAGTGGGACAGATATATCACAATGAGACAGGCTTGAAATACTGGGGGCTCCAAAGTGGACACTGTGTCAGCTGAGTGCTTCCTGCTGGAAGTTAAGAGACCCAACTCGAAGTGGCTCTGTAGTTAGAGGCGCATTACCCAATGGGGGAGAAGGCAAGATTGGGTCATTCAGTGCCTCTGTTCCAGGGACACTGTACCCCACAATTTCTGCATGTTCCCTGCTCCTGCCATCCCACACCCACCTTTATTAAGGGCTCAATGCTTGCACCCATGACTCTTGAGCTCCATGTCCCCAGGAACCTGACCATAGACTGGGCCTCCCTGAGCAGCACACATCCAGGGCCACGGGGCTAGTCCCAGTGGCCAATTAGGGCTTGAGGATACAAAGGAAATTTACATCCCAGCAAGTAAGTAGCTTTGAATGTTAAACCTTCCAGTGCTTAAAAATCCCTTTGTTCCCTATCAGGCTGTTCTAGTTTCTTCCTTTCCTCCACTCTGTCTCTATTCCTCCACCCTCCAATTTCTTTTTGTCACATGCAGCAGTGTGCGCTCTCTTGCTCCCTTTCCTCCAACCACACCTTCTTGCCTCACTTCCTCCTCTCTCCATAGGGGAAAGGCCAGGGGAAGACAAAGCCACTGACACAGACATCACAGCAGTGCCAGCTCCCCACCCCCATCATTTGCTCACACACTGTGGGTCTCAGAGGTTTGCAGTTAATGTGAAGCCAAAAGCCCTCGCACTGCTAGGACCCCTGGGTGGTATTTCCCAGAACACAGAATGAAATCAGGTGGCAATATAACCTTTTAATTCCTTCTATCCTGCTGAAAAACCACAAAACTGGGTGTTTTGGGGGGTTGTTTTGTTTTGTTTGTTTTTGTCTTTTTGAGACAGAGTCACACTCTGCAGTTCAGGCTGGTCTCAAGCTCACTTTGTAGCCAAGCTGGTCTCAAATTTGCAACAACCCTCCTGCCTCAGCCTCCCAAGTTTTGGGATTACAGGTACACAGAACTGTTTTTCAAAAACACAGGGGCTGGGATTTAGTTTAGCGGCATAAGAGCCTGCTTGGCAAGCACAAGGTCATGAGTTCAATTCCTGGTTCCACAGGAAAAAAAAAAATCACATGTAGTACCCCAATAAACATATATACCACCTGTCCTTATAGTATGGATTCTACCTTAAATGGTGAGCAAACAAGAAGTACAATTGCTGCTCTTAAATGAAAGCAACATTGGATTCTAACTTTGTTTCTGTTGCTTTTATAAAGGTACTTTTCCCAAGTTTTCCCTTGTTAAGTTTTTACTTTTCTTCAAGTAAGTGACAAGAAATGGGTTCTATCTGCTTCAGAGGTAAATGTGCCCTACCTTGAGTGACTTAACATGCCTATCACATTTGTCAAAATTGACTATCACTGGAGTGTTATTACCAAGTATAAAAGTCCTGGACAGCCTCAGCATGATGCCTGTGCCCGGGAGCTGCATAGGAACGCGGAAAGTGAGTCTTTGCAGGTGTCGGAGTTGCCAGGTATTTCTGCTTTTGCCCGAAATTGGCATTTAAGCTGTTGGAGTGATGGAGTGGACAAGGAGCTCAGAGGGCAGGTGCCACACCCAGAGGAGCAGCAGAGACTAGTCAAGGCCCAGGAGGGCCTTCCCTCCCCTCCCCACCATTATACCTTGGGATGCCACTTTGGTGGCACACGATGGCTCACCGTGAATACCCTAAGGGCTATTGTTCTTCAAGCAGGAACACCTGAGAATCGGGGTCTCACCTCACCACCAGCCTTCATCAAAACATTTCATTCTCTAAGCAGAGGCTTCTAGGCCTCCAAGACAATGGATGGGGTCGGTCTAACATCACCAAGCCTTCAGAGGGCCAGCTTGGGGTACAGATGTCTCAGACTAAAACACATAGTAATACAATAGGTAAGAAAAAGTATGGGCCATACATTTTTGCTGTACTACTATAAATAGGAAAAAAATGAATGCTTATTTAAAATTACATATTATTCTGTATATTTCACTTTTTAAATTTTATTTAAAGAAAGACTAAACAAAACAGAAAATGGGTAGAAAGAAAAAATAAACAGTAAGAAATCACTAGTTGATGTTTACATACTGTCCTCTTACAAATAGTTGTTCAAAATACAAAAGTGGAACATAGAAAGTGGGAATTCAAACAGCGAGACTGCAAACAGTTCTGTTCCACTATCTATCCAACAAAAATTTAGTAATATAATTATCAATCCTATACTCTTAAACATAAGAGTATAGGAGGTATCCATATCTTCATTTATGTTGAGATTAAATGAACTAAAGCAGGCTAAAATCATTCTGAAAAAGAATAATAGTATTACTGGATTTCGCATCATGACACTCCAAGATCAGCACTGGGTACTTTAGTGTCTCTTTTTCTTCAAAGTATTTGTTCATTTCATCATGTGTCATATGATCAGTTCTCATAAACTGTTTATAGATTCTACACATGCATGAGTCTTAACATGTATTTCTATCCTTTCTATATTAGAGGGAGAAACAAAACAAAGGAAAACAAAACAAAACATATTCCTATAAACACATAAAGTAAAAAAGACATATAAGACCGTTTTGCAAGGAGTTCTACCATAGTTCCTGTGTTGTCTCTTGTTATCTTCAATAGAACTGATCATATCATCAGAAATAGTATAATTGAATATATTAGTACATAACAGTATTAATAAAAACACAACTTTGTATATAGTATAAAACTTCAAAAGCAGGCAGTAATCAAACCAGAATGTGTATGGTAATGAGTCTTGTCATCTTCAGTGTAGTTGCCTATACTCTCAGACTTGATACTATCAATCACATCAGTTTTGAATAAAATCTGTCAATACCAAACAGCAATCAAACAAACCAGATTTAACTAAGATCAGTCATGATAAAACAGTATAAGTCATACAGGGCTCCAGATTAAGATAATAGGAAAATTAAAGATGATTACTGTGCTATATCCTGATGTTTTTGGGATAGCTGTCTGTGCCCTCAAATCTAATGCAAGTAGACAAACTGGGACAGAATAAAATCTAACTAAATAGAGTGGTGCGAGTAATGTAGGGGTTTTATTTTAATCTTTTTTTTCTTTTGTCTTTTTCATTTTTATCGGTACCAGGGATTGAACTCACGACCACCTGCTTGCAAGGCAGGTGCTTATGCCGCTGAGCTAAATCCCCAGCCCCAAGTAATGTGGGTTTTAAACCCTGATACACTATTAACAATATCTTCTGCCATCCTTTTTTTATGACTCTCCCTGCCCTTTCACTTCCCCAGAGTACACTGTGCATTTTTGGGTCTCACCAAGACCCTTGATTTTAAATTGCAGGGGGCAACCTGCTATTTACCTAAGTGCTTCTGAACCTTCTGTCTCCTGGACTTGATCTCTAATTGTGTTTCTTTACCTATTAAAGCCTGTCTTTCCAACCTATCCACAAATACTGGTCTAGTGGCTCCTTTTATTCTTTGGTTCTGTGTCACATAGAGCATTGTTTTCTCATATTTGATTTTCAGTCCATGTACTCTTTTTCATGTTAATTACATTTCCTATAAATAGCATCTCAGTGGACCTTACCGCCTGATCTACTCTACGTGTGGTTCTTTTTTTTTTTAATTTAGTGTATCAAGGTCATCTATATTAGAGATTATAACCAGCCTTCTCTGCCTCATTTATGTTGTGCTCTTTTTTTGCCATCAGTTGTCTGCTTGTCTTCTTCATTCTGTTTTCTGCTCCATTCATTGAGGCCTCTCTGCAATTGTTCCTGGAATCCTAGTACTTTTCTCTCTCTCTAGAATGCCCTGCAGTATTCTCTGTAGACTTGGATTGGTGGTCGCGAATTTCCCAAGTTCCTCTTTGTCTTGGAAGCATCTTGTTTCTCCATCAATTTCTAGAGACAGTTTAGTAGGATATATCAATCTGGGCCAGAGGTTATTTTCTTTCAGGGCTTGGAATATTTCTCTCCAGGCTCTTCTAGACTTGATGGTTTGTGCCAAGAAGTCTGCCATTATTCTGATGGGCCCTCCTTTCTAGGTTATCTGTGTCTTGTTTCTAACAGCTTTTAATATTCTGTTCTTATACTGAATTTCTGGGATCTTGATTATTATATGTCTGAGTGTAGCTCTGCTTTGGTTGTAGGTGGCTGGAGTTCTGTATGCCTCATACATCTGCATATCATTTCCTTTTCCTATGTTTGGGAAGTTTTCCTTAATTATTTCTGTGAATAGCCTTTGTAGTTTCTTTGTTTGTACCCCAGCTTCTTCATTCACATTCTTTATTCTCAAGTTATAGATCCTTTTGTCATCTTCTAGTCTTTGTATTGTTACTACTTGTTTCCTTGTTATTTTTAAAAAGTTTTCCCTTTCATACTCCCACACTGCAAAACTGTCCTCCAGTTTGGGTAATCTATCCTAAGTTTCTTTCAAGCAGTTTTGCCATCTTTCCATAGAGTTTTTAATTTCCTGGTAATCTCTTTGAATCTGCTTCATGTATTCTATATTTTCTTTATATTCTTCATCAAGTGGTTCTCTCCTTTGTTTGAGTTCCTCCATTCTCCCATCTGTGTCTTCTTGAGGGCTGCTTAGCATCTCTTTTGTTAATCTTTTATATCTTGCTTTACTTGGCTAAATATTTCACTTTTGATCTTGTCTATAAGGTCCCAAAGATAACTCTTTATGTCCACTGGTGCCGTGTCTGATACTGCATATTTGCTGTTGTCATTCTCCTTTGTATTTGCCTGTCCTGGGTCAGTGTTCTCAGGGTTGGGACCTGGGGACTTATTCTTATTGCTTCCTCTTTCCATCTTTTTTGTTTCTTCAGGAGGCCCCAGTTTCTTTCTTTGTTGGTTACAAGTCTTCTGAAGCATGCTGGCTAGGTGATCCTTCCCACTGCCGTGTGCTAGTGAGTTGCAAACAAGGGCAACGTATGCTGGCCCCTCCCCTCCGGATCAGTCAAACTGCTGAGGCCTTCACTGTGTTAGTGTGCCTCGCCACCATAGGGAATTGATTTTGGATAACCTATTGGGTCTCAGTCAGGTCATGTGACCCAGGCCAAGCTCACTCCACCCAAAGTAGCCCATAAATCCAATGCAATCCCTACCAAAATTCCAATTGCTCTTTTCATAGAAATGGCAAAACTAACTCTCAAGTTCATAAAGAATTGAAAAGGTCCTTGGATACCCAAAACAATCTTGATGAAGAAAAGGGAGGAGCCACACACAGCAGTACTCACATGTAATCCCAGAACTCTGCAAGGCTGGGGCAGGAGGGGTGCAAGTTCAAGTTCAGCCTGGGCAACTTACCAAGGCCCTAAAATAAAAAAATAAAAAGGTTAGAGAAATATGTTAGTACAATCCCCAATATAGAGTTGGGAAGGGGAGAGAAGAAGATAGTGAAAGTTGGAGGACTTGCGCTTCCTGTCTTCAACACTTAACTATATTGACATAATGACAGCCAATTAGATCAATGCAGTAGACTAACAAGCCCAGAAGTAAACCTGAACTTATATGATTACCTGATTTTTGACAAGGATGCAAAGATTACTCACTGGGGAAAGGACAATCTTTTCAACAAATGGTGCCATGAAAACTGGATTTCCACATACTGGGATGTAGCTCAGTGCAAAAGCCCTGGGTTCAATCTGCAGTACAATGACAAGAAATAGCAACAACAAAAAGCATGGAGAATAACAAGTGTTGGATGGGATGTGGAGAAACTGGATCCTTTGTGCATTGCTGATGGGAATGCAAAATACCACAGCTACTAGAGAAAACAGTTTGGCAGTTTCTCAAAAGGTTCAACCTATCCTATGACCCAGCGATTTTACTGCAAGGTATATGTACAAAAGAACTGAAAGCAGGGATCAGAAGCAGATACTTGTAAACCTGCGTGCATAGCAACATTTTCCACAATAAGCAAAGGGTGGAAACAACACAAGTGTCCACACATGGATGAATGGGTAACTAAAGTGTGATGTGCACATACATGCATCTTGAAGGGAAGGAAACTCTGACATAGTCTAGACCATGGATGAACCTGAAGACATTATGCTAAGTGAACTAAACCAGCCATAGAAGGACAAACACAGTGCTATCTGGGTTCACTAACTTAATTTGTTCTGCGATTTTGGAAAAGATGGCCATGTTTGTTTTTGTGTGGCAAAGATGGTTGGGGTCATGTTTATCACCCAATGCAGAGTTTACAAACAAAAACAAAATTTTGCCAAACTCTTCTTTTTGTGAACCAAATTGTTTACAGAAGTGTTTGGGAACTGAGGTATTATTTATGATTCCACTTCTCAGAGGTTATTGGTTTTCTTGGGGGAGGATACTGAGACTCAAACGCAGGACCTCACTCTTGCCATGCAGGTGCGGTGCCGCTGAGCTTGCTGTTGCTACTGCTGTTGTTGTTGAAACAAGGTCCCATTATACCACAAAGGCAGGCTTTGAACCCACTGTGTAGCCCAGGCTGACTTTGATCCTCCTGCCTCAGCTTCCCAAATGCGGAGATGAGAGGCACCTGACTTTTTTTTCTTTTTTCTCTTCCTCCTTCATTGTTTTTATATGAGTGTGAACGTGGCTCCTAGCCTCTTTGTGGGTGTGGTTGTGCTCTGTTATTCCTTTTATCTCTTCCATCTCTCTTTTCCTTCCGTCTTCTGCACCAGCTTCCCAAAGTTGGCATGGTCCCCCTTTGTCCTCCAACCTTACTTTTAATCTCATGCTTTTTTCATTTCTCTATTTTCTCCTTAATCCATTTTAAATTTTAAACCCCAAGGGCAAATTTGACACATCGGGGACTTATACACTGCATATAATTTTCTAGTTTGGTTTACATTTTGTTATATAATCACAAATCTGGTTCTTAAAAGTGGCAAGTTAAGAGTTAGCTCAGTTTGTTGTTTTCTAGGCTGTTTGATGCTATTGGTACCACTATAGCCAAAATTAACACAGTTGTTCTAAATAGCTGTTAATCCTAGTATTCCATGACTGAGATTGACTGAGGGTCATAGAAAATACTGTGGCAGTGTCAAAGAATCAGGGACTAGGCCAAACAAGCAACAAATTCTCAACTCCAACAAACTGAAGAAATGAGATCTTTCAGCAGACTCAAAACCCAAAAACCAACTACACCTGGAAGATACCCGAGAGAGGTAATCATCAGCTAAGGTTCTAAATACTAGCAATAAAGTAACACACGATAGGCAATTTACAAACATCGCCCAAGAATCAAACTAAAAAAAGAGAGAAAAGAAAATGAGAAGGCCCAAGCAAAACGTAATCCCAGACATTCAGCTCACCAAAGGCAAATCTGGGGTGCAATGAGATGAGAAAATCCACAAGCCCCCCCACCCCTAGGCCTCTCTGAAGTGGTAGCAACAAAGCAATTGAATGAGGCTCTGGAGAAAATGAAATCAGAAATAATCGTTCAGATAACTACAGAGATTCCCAGAATATACACCACAGTTAGCAATGTTAGAGCAAATACAGACAAAAACACACCTTGTTTTTCTCATTGATAAGGGAGATACTTCACGCCGTTTTCTCCTGGGAATCTCCTCCCTTAGAGGAACAATACCAAGTACCAGCAGTGATAAAACTAACAAGTGGGGTTACAAGCTTCACAGTATCCTAACATTCTGAAATGCACACCATGTGTTTTCTTTCAAGGCTAAGATAAGGTTAGTTGCTAGAATGACTGACTGCCTTTGTTTCACTTCTGTATCTCTACCAGCTTAACACTATAAATTGTACAAAAGGGGACTTGTTGGTTCTGAGCATTTCTAGTGGCTGGGGCACTGCACTATTAAAGCCCTCCTGAAAAACTCCACCTGGTCTCTCCAGTTTCTTGAAAATTCCACAATATAATGTATATCAAACCAGAAAGTGTGACATTTTCAGTTAACAAACACGAAGGCCTTTGTTTAACCTGATGTGGCTCACAGGAGTTCTGCCAAATACTCCCGAGCCCACTATAAAATTTTTTGATTTTCAGGACCGATTTGTACAATGTCTGTAAGTCTCACAATCTGGCACCGTTATTGAGCAGGTCCTATGCTGGGTGCCATCCCTGTCAGTCACAGCGTGGGTGACTGCCCAGATTCTGGCTCACTGCTTGGTATTTATTCATCTACTTGCAAAACATAATATAAACGTGATATAACAAGTGGTCGAAACTCCACTCTTGGCCTCTGTCCTCCAGTTGGTTTCAAAGACTTCCAGCATATAAAGATGCGCACAGCTGCGTGTTACTGGGGCTGTGCAGGAAAGCTGGACTGCATACGAGAACACTGTCCCCACTGATGGGCACCTAGGTTGCCCTTATAAATAGTACTGAGGCGAACCTCCCTGGGCATAGATTTTTTAACTTTTAGTTATTAGTACATGTGTGTAACAGTCACAATGCTTACATTCCTTGTGGGGAAGTGATGCGCATCCATAAAACATCTTAATTTCCTTTTCCTTTCCCTTCCCTCTCCTCTCTCAATCTCTGCAGAGACTTAGCATCTCTCCAGGGGAATCTCCCACTGGAGTAAAGTCGGGGTAAGCGGGAGTGCTGCCAGTGGCTGGCTTTGCTGCTGCCCAGGGGCTCTCTGGAAAGTGCTGGGGCACCGCGGCTGGTGGGCCCGAGGAGGAGACCCAGGGCGCAAGTGGGAAGCTAGGGGAACCTCTGCCCCAGGAATAGGGGCTCCCGGGCCGAGGTCGGGGCTCCAGGAAGCCCATGGTCGCTCAGGAACCGGTAAAAGCTCATCTCAGAGGAGAAAGACGGGGTCGTACACCTGGACTCTCGCTGGCCCGGAAGAAGCGGCCCAGATGAAGTTCCGGGCCCCTGGGGCTGGCAAGGCCAGAGGCCGCGAGGAGGCGTGGGGTCGGGTCGGAGGCTCCCGAGGGTCCCCGAGCTCCCAGCCCTGGGAGCCCGCAGCTGGCTGCGCCGGGGCGGACCTGGCGTTCACGGATGAGGGTGGAGTAGAGCACTGCCGCGTTTCGCCGCGCCAGTTTTGGAAGGCAAAAAGCCCGGACCTGGCCGAAGCATCCTTCAAAGACAGAAAGATGGCGGGTATACGCGGCAGCAGACGTTATACGGAAAAGAAACTAAACCATGCAGGGCCCGCTCCCGCCCAGCCCAGGAGCACTGCTCAGCTCCCAGTCTTCGGTAAACCCTTAAACTTCCAACCCGGCCACACAAACCAGGATCGAGACTACGCATGCGCTAGTGCCCGCGCACAGGCGGGTGCCCGTGGAGAAACTAGTAATGGGGAATAGTTTCTCAGCACACTTACGCAGGTGGCGCCGTGGCTTAGTTGGTTAAAGCGCCTGTCTAGTAAACAGGAGATCCTGGGTTCGAATCCCAGCGGTGCCTCAACCGAGCGTACTCAGTCTCGTCAAACTTTTGCTATTTGTAATAGTTTTTGGAGGTAAGCTGTGGGCGTTGAGTGGAGCTGGACGGCTAGTTGCTGGGTTCCGGCCGGAGATGAGAGCCAATGCCAGAGAAGAAAAAATTTCCCTATCGCCAAGAAGCAACCCCTGAGTGGTCCTGCTTTCACAGTGGCCAGGCTGAGCTAAGCTTCCGAAGGCTTGGTCCTCTTCCGTCTCTTTCCGTCCCAGTAGCCAGTTCCTTTCTACGCGTGGAAGACCAAAACGGGCGGGAATGCAGGAGAGCGTCCAGCCTCAGCGACCAACAGTGCACTGAATGCAAACAAACTCTGGGCTAGGGAGAATCAAACCGACTGGGCTGTGCCCGGTTCCCGAATCAACGTAGGGCCAAACCCTCAGGCCTGGGTTTGCTAACTGCTAATTGCTGGCGCCTGTTAAACACCTAGGGACCGACTCCAGAGACTGCATCCAAGGGTTTGGAAGGTGGGGGAGGAGGGAATTAAGATATTTTTAAAATTCCCCAGCAATTCACGTATGACAAACCCAACAGGGCAATCCCAAAGGTTTGCAGAAATCGCAGACATGGCATGAAGTTGTGTTCTGAGTGCAAAAAGATGCTCCTTGGCTTATAGTGAGTTTTCCTATAAGCCCATTATAAACTGAAATTATCTTAGGTGGAAAATGCATTTCAAACACCTATCCAACATCTGCTCGACATACTTTACATTAGTCTACACCTGGGCAAAGTGATTCACCACAAAGCCTGTTTTATAATAAAGTGTTGATGACTTGTGTAAGTTACTGAATAGTGAAGAACAGAATGGCTGTGTGTGTACTCACATTACACGCAAGAGTCCTAGATAGGCATTTTGTTAGACATGGGATGGGAAAACAAAGCAGAATGCCTAAAAAACTCTGGCAGTATTGCTGTTCACCTGCTGATGAGGGAATATTGTAGGGCACATATTGTAGGGGAAAGATCCAAATTCAGTTGTTGGCAAACTAGTATTTGTTGCCATACTTCTCAATTATCCCGTGACTCAGTTTCCTTTACTTTTCCTTTTGTGGTGTTGGGGGCAAAAACCCAAGACTTCATGAATGCTAAGCACATGTGTATAATTCAGTCCCTGCATATGAAAAGTAGAGTCAATGCCAGGAGCTGCCCCACTGAATTGTCCAAATGACTGAGTCATGTACTTGTATTTTTTGTATGCCACCATGCCCAGCTTCTGTGCTAGTATTTTTCTAAAAATTTCTTCTAGGATGTGTATCTGGTTTTGTGAAATAAATACTTTCCATTTCTCCAATGTTGTATGCATTTCGTTTGAACCTGACTCAAACCCTTGCTGAGAACCAGCAAAAGCCAGTTTATAAACACAGTGCTTTGCTCTACTTCTTAGCCTGACAGCTGTACATGGTCTAATAGGTGGTTTCTGTAGTTTCTAGAAACAGATGGACTTACTCAGGGAAATATTCCCATGTGTTCTTTCTAGCGATCTCAACTCCCTAGGCAGCTGGACCGGATCCTGAGGAGGGTGGACTGGCAGGGAAGAGCCGCCAGCCTGGTGGGGCACTTTCCTTACTTTACTGAGATACGTGTTTACTAGGACTCTTCTTCTTCACGCGCTGCCAACCAGTGTCCAGAAGAGGGCGTAGGCGAGTTCTGCACAGCAGGGTTGAGGTGAGGGACCCAGTTCTTGGGTGTGGCAGTCAGGACCACAGCCAGAGCCCACCTTGTGAACGCTCATGCCAAAAAAGAGGAGGGGTCCCAGGATACTCTCCTGGCAGTCTCAGCTGCAGCAGGAACCTGTTTAAATGCATTCTTCAATTCTGTGTATATCTGTTAGAGGGTATCTATATCCCCCACAAACATAAGAATGAAATAGATTTCCTAAACTAAAAGGAAACAAGCATTTTCTACATACATATACACAGACACAGACACACACAGACACACACACACACACACACACACACACACACACACACGGAAAAATTCTACACTTGTGCTGTCCATTAGGCATCGACTGTGACAAGTGGCTTTGAACACTGGAGATGTGGCTCAGTTGAACTAAAATGGACAGGAAGGGTAAAATAGACACAGGATTTGGGGGGGCTTAGTATGAAAATGAGAATATAAAAAATCTCATTAACAATTTTAAAAATACTGATTACATGTTAAAACAATGATATTTGGAGCACACAGTATTTACCTAAATGCAACACAGTTTCATGTCCTACTGTCAGATCAGGGAGAAATTGAAATCTTTCCCCCAATGGGTCTGCAATACTTCTCTTCATTCATTGGATTATCAAGGAGTATGAGTCCATTCACTGCTGTCATCTGAAGCTTGTTTCTATATCATCATCACCATCACCACCACCACCATCATCATCATCATCGTGCTGGGACTAGAACCCAGGGCCTTGTAGCATGTTAGGCCAATGCTCTGCCACTGGACTACATACCCAATCCCCTTCACTGACTGGACTTTTCAAACAGTATGATTCCATTCATGGCTTCCATCTGAAATGTGTTTCTTTCTTTTAATAAATATTCTTTTGATGAAAAGTTTTATAACAAGTCACTTACATATGATGGAAAACTTTCTACAGATTCCATTGCTTACTTTTAATACTTTGGTTGCAGATTTGATTACATTTTAAATCAACTTTCTCACCATGGTTTAATAAATATTTAAAGATAGCAAAGATGATATCCTTCATATTTGTCAAAAATGTACAATATATATCATTTTTTGGTTAAACAGTCCAGAAACATCTTTCTAAACTGCAATTTAAAAATATGTATTCCATCAAGGCATGGTGGTACATGCCTACAGTCTCAACACTCTGAGAGGTTGAGGCAGCAGAATTACAAGTTTGAGCCCAGCCTGAGCATTTTAGTGACTTAGTAAGACCCTGTCTCAAAATTTTTTTTAAAAATGTAAGGATTGGGAATTAGTGTGAAGGTCCAGGGTCAATTGTCAAGTGCCCCCTCCCCTCACACATGAAGGTAGTTTGGCTGTTATGGTTTAAAATAAGAACGACCCCAAAAGGCTCATGTGCTCAGAGGCGGAGCTTGTGAAAGGTGATTGGATCATGGGCATCACAGCTGACTTGCTGTTAGGATGTGGGATCTGGTAGGAAGTGGTAAGTCACACCCTCCCAGCTCCTCCCTTCCATCTCTGCTGAGCTCACCTTGTGGTAGCCACTTACATGAGATGCAAATATCTTTACATCTTTCACCCATCTGGCAAGGTCTATCCATATACTTATCTTTATCATTCTGTAGTCATGTTCCTTTTGATTTCCCTCACCACTGTCTCTCATGGATGTCCCAGAAAGGGGCAGTACTGCCCCAGCTGTCCACTTTTGGGTGGTGCCTGCATAATGTGCAAAACCGTCTGTAAACCAGGCCCCAGTCTTCCCTCTTTCTCTTCTAGGCTGCCATGACATGAGTAGCTTTCTTCCACTCAGATCTTTCTACTGTGGCATCTCTATGTTTGAACCTGCCAGATATGGACTGAAACTTCTAAAACTGTGAGCCAAAACGATCCTCTCCTCCATTCAATTTTAGGTGTTGAGTTTTTTGTCCCAGTGATGAGTGAAGTGACGTAAGACAGGGGCTTACTTCCTCAGATCCCAAACTGTCATCTGCTACTCCGATGGCACTAAATGTCAGAGAAAGTAGATTTGAGTAGAATTGGAAGAGAAAAGAGAGTGCTTTTTATTGATTGTGGTTACAATGCATCTTTTTTCTAACTTTACCAAATCACATGGTTCCTGGCAAGCACAATAGGAAACCACAAAGAACAACAAAGGCAAGCACATCATGTCCCAACTGCTGCAGTTCCAGAAAACCTGATAACATTTTCAGAGCCAGCCATCCTGAGAAGCTTGACTGCATCTGCTCCACCCCCATATTCATCAGGCAAGCAGCTTTCCTCGACCAGCACCCAGCAACTGCGTCCCCTTTAAAGCCCTCCTTCTCCCCTCTCTTGGGCTGACTCTTTCTGGATTCAGCCTGCTTATACCTGAGAAAATAAACAACCGGGGCTGGGGATTTAGCTCAGTGGCATAAACGCTTGCCTTGTAAGAGGCAGTCGTGGGTTCAATCCCCGGTACTGATAAAAAGGAAAAAGACAAAAAAAGAAAATAAACAACCTAGTAGCTCACAAAAAGCCTACCTGGGTGGTCTCTAACAAGGACTGAATTCTTCTCCCACCAGAAATTTAAAAAGCAAAACAAAACAAAAAAACAGAGAAAATACATGAACAATGGTTCTCAAGACATTGGAAAGCCAGGTAGGTAGTGCACACATGTAGTCCTAGTCACTTGGAAGCTGATGCAGGAGAATTGCTTGATCCTAGGAATTCAGGGCAGTAGCACCCAGTGCTCATCAGGCATCTTCCCCAAACAGAACAGTAGGATCACTCCTGTGAGTAGCCATGACACTCCAGCCTAGGCAACAAAAGAGACCCTCCTCTCTTAAAACAAAACAGAACCAACCAAGAACCAGAAAATACTGGACACCCAGAAACAAAGTGATACAAGGATGATAGCAGGACCTCCAAATAATCCAAGTAATACAAGGGAAATATTATAACTCCCAATATGCTAGATGTCCAATGTGCTGAGTTCATGTTATCCAAAATCAAAGAATGAATTCTTACAAACAATAGAGATTAAGAGTAGAAAATATTTATTGGGGGAAAGAGACAGCTTCTGTCTAAGAGAGACAAAAAGGGACCAGAAAATGGGTTGCTGAGTACCCTACTTCTCAGGGGAAGCTTTATAGTGCAAAATCACAAGGTGTGCACAAGGTGA